AATATACAGTGTTGTAGGAAGGAGTTGCAAAGTGAGTGTGCTTGACTAGACATGCAGGTTTTACAATGAGGCAGCTCAATCTAGGGGGTCTGGAGGCATTCCCCGAATAAAACTAATATAATAATATAATTTACATTTGCTATATAAGTCAAATATGTAAAAGTGTCGGTGCTACAATACTCCAGGTTCCGACGTTTCTGAATATATATATAATGAGGCAGAAACTTGTGAAAGTGTTCCAAATGACCCAGAAAGGTTTGACCACTTTGACACTAGTGCTTCATCAACTTCTTTAGTATAAATAATTGTTCTTGGTGACGAGACTAATTCATTTACCAAATTTGATAATCTTGGTGATTGGGTTTTGCCTTTAATCGATAGGTAATCAATTAAGTAACGGTGAAAAGCGTGTCCGACGTTGGCTGGTGTATTCTCAGAGTAAAAACTGCGTATTTTGTTTTACTTGTTGTATTGTTTCAAGATCACAAGCAGCCATTCCTCCTGAAGGTTATTCGGATTGGAACAACTTGAGTCTTTGGTTAAAACCACATGAAAATTACAATGCTCATAAGAAATGGCTAAACTTCGAAAATAGACTAAATAGTGAAACTACTCTTAACAAACTTTCACAAACGCAAATACAACCAGAAATGTAATGGTAGCGAGATATTTTAGAAATATTTCATGTTATAGTGCAGTATTCAGCATTACATCACATGAAAAGCATATAAATGAACCTTTAAGAAATAGCACTAATATGAAATACGCCTTGAAATTCATCATTGACAATGTCTTATGTGAGATATACCCTAACGTGTATATAGCACTTCGCATAGTCCTGACTATACCAGTTACAGATGCTTCGGCAGAAAAAAGTTTTTCTCGTGTTAACCTCATTATGACGTACCTCCGTTGTACTATGTCCCAAGAAAGACTGACATCACTGGAAATGTTATCTATAGAAAATTATGTAACAAACCCCTGGATTATTCTGATCTGATAGAGTGCACAGACGAGAGAAAAGAGAAAACATTTTTGTTTAATTAGTATATAGCATATTGTTTTTTCCAACTTCTCTGTTCCTTTGCAGTTTAAATGCTTGACTATGTTCACAGATGAAATATTAGGGTTTCTGGTTGCAACTTTTCCTGTTCACCATTTTCTTAATTGCAACTGCCTTCAAACAGTTTTTTATTGGTATTCTAATTCCAGGCGTACCAAGGGTAGTTCGAGTAGTGCACCTACGTACCGACTCTGTATTGGGTGCAAGTATGCATCTTTGAAGGCTAGGATAGATTATATGTTTTTCAGATGAGGCGCAAAATTTATATCTCACACAGTGCACTATCATTGATTAGTACTACCCTGCTCCATTAATATCACTATTTCTGAACTTATTTGGAATTGATGTTAAAATTATTTGAATAAATTATCCTGTTATATTAATTGTTCTTATTGATATTTTATCCTAGTACAATACTTTTTAATCTCTCAGTTGCTGCAAATGCTCTATCTGAGTCTAATATTAAATGCTTAAATTTCCTTTTGAAAATTCTAGTATTTTTAACAATATATTTTTGAGGACTTATTTGTGCATGGATGTGTGTGTTACTATGGCATTTAAAAACCAAAGTGACAGACAGAAACTTCCTCCAGTGAGAATAGCCAAGCTAACTGTAGATTTTCATATGTATATCATTATTCTAAAAATTTTGAACAAATTCAAAATAATATAATATATTATGGTTAAACTAATCTACAGGCTTATAGCTAATATAAAAATAGTTTTTCCATAATAATGGTTATAATATATTCAAATGTTATATATATTACCTGTAATATTTAAGTCTTTGCATTCCAACTTTGTCATGTCATCACAAGATCTGATGATTTCACCATTTATATAAACCCAAATAAGCAATTTATATTACCTCAATAATTTTAAATATTCTAGTCAAGTTACCTTTATCTTCATTGAAAAGGAGTTCATAAAGTATCACTCCTTTACACACACATATATAAACAAAATTTTAATGTTATAAATGCAAATATCATGTTAAAGTGAATACGTGGTCTACCTTTAATGAAAAGTTTCATCATTCCATGAGTTATAATAATATTTGAACTAATTTTTGTTTATTATATCCTTGATTGAAAATTTAAAGAAAAATGATTTGATATTTTCTTTGCCTCAAAAATACTACAGTTATTTTCTCATAATTCTATTTTGTGTGATCACAAGTTATTTTAAAGTAGACCTTTGTTCTGAATTATTTATGTACTTCAAAATTATTTAATTGAAGATTTTTCGGACCTTGTTTACTCCATGGGTATGTAAATCAAGATATGTTTTTCTTTTTTTCTTCTTTATTTCTATTGTTGCTTAATTGAGATTTTCTTAAATATTATTTCATGCCAATCTATAGAGATCTATACCTTGGCCTTGTACTAGCTCTGCTAAAACACCTTTACCTCTCTTATTATTTGAACTTGTGTGTATTCTTGTTCAGTTATTTGATGTAGAATCTGGACCTTAATATTAAATTTTTGCTCAAAATTCTCATAATTTTTTGGTTCATTAAAAATGTCAAATATGTTGTTCAGTTCTGAAGTAAGGTGATCAAGACCTCATTCTTGAAATGTTACTATGTAAAAATATTTCAATATATTTTAATCAACTGAAAATTCTTTGTTTCTTCTAGTAAGCAGACCAAAATTAGTTCTTAAACTACAAGTACTTCTAAAATATTTCTAGATATTTGGTGATTAATTGAAGTTGTCTTTTAATTTTGATTAACTAAAATTGTGTTGTATCTTATTTGAAATAGGTGTGGTAATCCAGACCTGGGTTTTGAACATGTTTCGAATACACAAAGTGAACTGGATGGAACAGTTCATCATGGCATATGGAGGGCTTCGTGGTGCAGTGGCCTTTGCACTAGTACTTGTTATCTCAGAAGATGTAATTCCTTCCAAAAAGATAATGGTTACAACCATTATAGTTATGGTGTTTTTCACTGTTTTTGTTCAGGTATAGTAAGGCACACATACGTTACAGTAAACTTAAATGTGCAATAATAATAGTTTTTTTGGTTCAGTTTAATTTTGTTTACATTTTAATTCCACTTTACCATTTTGAGATGACATTGTTGTGTTTAATTCCATCAAAAACATTTTTTCTTCCTACTTTTCTGTAACTTCAATGGATGACAAGAGGGAATCCTCAATAGCTGCGACACTTAATTTTTTTAGGCAGGATTAGAATAGATTAATCTGTTAGACCTTTACTTCCTTTTTATTAGCTATATTTTTGTGCACCAACAATGCCAAATGTAAGGCATGCATATACCCAGTTCAATTTTATTACTCATTGGGATCTCTACTAGCCTACCCTCAAATTGAAATTCTTTTACTTTTAGGCAGGATTAGAGTAAAGTAATGTATGAGACCTTTGGCATGGTTAGACATAACAATGGAAAGGATTTGATGTCCCGAGTCCAAAATTGTAATTAGATCTCAAATTGATTAAGAGATGACAGAGCTAAAAGTTTGTACGTGAAAAATTCAGAGCCATTCTATGAGCCACTGTGACGCAGCTAAAAATACATCATTATTATAAAAATCATAGCTGTAGCTAGGGTAAGGTGCAGTACAAGTGCTAAGCCTGTTATTCAATAATTTATGCAGAACTATACAGATTGAAGGGCAAATAGAAAAACTTGCCATTTGAACTTATCATCCAAATTAAGCAAGATAACTAAAGTTCCCAACTTCACTCTTTATTCTTCAGCTATGTCATCTCATTCTTAAGTTAGAACATATATCATCATAATTATTTTTATATTTTCTAGTGTTGTGGTATTTACCATCTCATTTAGGTAAATACTTTATTTGTAATATCTATGTTTTTAAATATCCTAGTCAAGTTACCTTTATCTTCAGTGAAAAGGAGTCAATAAAGTATCACTTCTATACACAGCAAATATGAACAAAATCGGGTAATCTGTTTTTTTTTGTTTTTTTTGTATCTGTCATTGCTGTAAAGTGAAGTAAAAACTGAGATTTATTGTAATTAAGTGTGGAACATTTATTTGTTCAGTAATTCATTTATGTTCTAGCAATTATCTTTAAAATATATTTATTAACTATCCTATGTTATGAAAACACTTGCTTTTGATGGAATAGCAACCATGAATATAAAATTTGTTCAGCAAGGATGTGTGCCATGAAAGGGTTAGGTAGACTTATACACTATATAAACTTGCCCAGGGCACATAAAAAGACTGTCTGTGGCTCTGAAAGGAATAATCAGTGAATGTGGGAATTAAGTATGTTTTTGAATTTAGTATAATATTCAAATCACAAAGGAAAAATGTAACTTAATATTAAGTAATATTTTCCAATTTAACGTGTGCTAAGATTACTTTCTTTTTTTTTATATCTACTCTTGCAGGGCATAACAGTTGGACCACTAGTAAAGTTACTGAAAGTTCCAAGAAGTAATAAAACAAAACCCTCTATGAATGAAAGGTTACATACAAGGGTAAGAACACAAGTTGTTAAGAACTATTTAATCTTGTTCTATGAAGAAAAACACCAGCTGTTTTATTGATTACTCTGGTTTTTTATAAAAACTTTAGAACTTAGTTGAAGGTTTGGTCATGTATAAAATAGAACATTTATTAACCATAATGTACTCAAAAAGAAAAATTCCTTTTTTATCTTACAGTTTAATGTTCTTGTGTATTTTTGTCTCTGTCTTCTTTCTAGTTGATAGATCATTTAATGGCAGGAATTGAAGATATTGCAGGCCACAGAATTGGGAATTATCTCCTACGTGATAAGTATGTTAACAATAATAATTTGTATTAATAACTATACAAATTCAAAATCATATAAGGTGATAAATAAATGAATACAATTGAGGCTTGATAAATTAAAAATGAAGGATATTTAAAATATTTTTTAATATTTCATATTTTAAGACTTTAATCCATGTAGGTTTTTAAATTTAAAAACCACATTGCAATAATTTGAATGCAAAAAAATACATTTTGTAATCTGATTAATTAAGTTTTTTTTGTAATTACAATCTTCCTCTATGTTTCTGACATAGAAGCATATATGTATATAGATTAGTTTACAAAAATGTTGTAAGGTTATAGTATTTTGGCACTTGTGTATAAAATTAAAATCATAAATAATATTCAACATTAAACTGGTACACAATTAAAATTTAATTGTGTACCAGTTTAACATTGAATATTATTTATGATTTTAATGTTGTAAGGTGTTCTATCATCAGGTGGGTTCTTTTGTATCATCTAGTAAAGATAATGCACTTTCCAGTACATATAATGATAAAGTAATTTGTTTCTTTAATAATGCTTCATGCAGGCTATTCACTGATAAGCCTAACTTCATAAATAATGTTTCAATACAAATTCTGAAACTGATGCACAACTAACTTGTAAATACACTTAAAGGATTTCTTCACTAATCAATCAATAATAAACATGCTGTCTGACTCATAGTTTAGCTTAATAACTGAATCAATAACTCAACTGTTTTTTCAGTCTGGTATTTGTATGCACCCTAGTTTTATACATAATACAGGAGGCTTTCAGATTCTATATAGGCCTTCACTTTCATGAAAATTCTACATCTTGCATCATCATGATGTTATGACAAGTTTTCACTAGCTTACAATGCACTATAATTAGCCTAATAATGACAATAAATTTGAGTTTAACTACTGTGTATCAGAAATAGTAACAAAAAAACTTTTAGGACAAATTTTGCATTACTTGAATGTCTATATATAATAGATATTCTTCTTTATGTTTTAGTTTGTTTATATAAATGATGTTATTAGAATTACTCTACCAAACGTAGCCATATGGAAAGAATAGATTTAGTAATTTTGTATGTACTGTACTTGTTATATTCATTTGAATAAATATAGATGTGAACTTCATCAGATAGATCATGCAATCAAGATATGGAATTATAGAGTAATACTAGGATGCTTATTAACTGAGACTATAATAAGTGGAGTAAAGATACTGGATAAAAATATAATGAACAATATTTAATAAGTCAAAGAACACAAAAACAGTGTGTACCTGTTCACTGGATTAGAGATTCAGTCCTATTGCTAAATTTCAGGTTCTCTCTGTTGTCTATCTGCTCTATCTTGATTTTATATTTGAAGAAACCCTGTATTTATACAATTTGATTAGTGCTACCATGTGACAAGTTATTCTCTAGGTATTTAGCAATGTTCTCCAGGGGTGATTAATGGGATGTACTTATGCTTGACAATATCAAGAAACAAAGTTAACTTGAAATATGATTAACTTAATGGCTTTCTAAACCATCTTTTACGTGAACCCTGCATGTATTAAAAACAAATAAATACATTTTGAATAAAAACACTATCAGAAGACAGAAACCTATGTTATATTCATGTACTATATTACTATATATATATATATAGACACACACACCTAATATAAATCTTTATCATGACAAATTTCAAATGTATGAATAATTTGAGGTATGAATAGATTATTCATATTTGTGAAAAAGAACTTTTTAATATTGTATAGTAAAATTTACATAGCAAGGATTTAGTATTTTACAAGTAAGAGGATCAAACTTACAACATTTTAATGAGTGTAATGCATCTCAATTACAGATAAATGTCTCATTATTTGTGTGCTACTTATAGTATTTAAAAATTTTGATCATCTTGTATTCTTGCCAGGTTTAGGCACTATAACAACAGATTCATCCGGCCTCTCCTCACACGTGATCATCGTGTTAGGGAACCAAAGATCTTTGAGACGTATTCCAAGCTAAACTTGGCAGATGCAATGAATCTTGTGAAACAGAACAATAGCATGGTATCTGTAATAGGCAGTGGTCAGAGTATTTCTTTATCAAACTTGATTAAAACCTACACTCAGACAAACTTGGCAAGGTAGGTAACTAACTTAATAAATCGCTATGTAATATGTTATGTAAAAAAAGAGAAAGTTTTTAACTGATGACATTAGTCTAAATTTTTTAAACTAAGATATTCAATGTGTCCTTATACCTTTTATCTTGAGTAAAAATATTCTTTGTCAATTGTTATTAAGCAGTTTTTAAATTTCATCTAATATCAAAAACTTCATTCTTTATATTGTGTTTTGCTTTTTTGTTATTTCTGTATGAAGCTTTGGCTTGCATTAATTTATTTTTAATTAAATTAGTAAGTGAAGCTATTTCAGATGAATTTTTCCATTCAAAGTTAATTTTCTTTGTGTCCTCAGATATTCAGATGGGATTGTTTCAAGTTCACAAACTTCTACATTTCAAAATGAGTCAAGTTTTGCAAATTTGGACATTGGTGAACTTGAGTACTCTCCAAGCTGCAAGGACCTTGCTGATGCAGAACTTCACCATATTCTAAATGATTCTATGTTTAGTCCACCTCGTAGGGTAAGTCTAATTTCTCCGTTAGGAGAGGGGTGGATTCTATAATAGAATAAGCATGTTCAGACCTTTCTCCAACATAACTATAAACTGTAAATATCCAGTTTTATTATGTCAAAATTACTTTACTGGTATTAATAAATGTATGGTATTAATAAAAAACACAAGTGGAATTATTGATTTGTCATATAATATTGCCTTTCATAATCGAAGAATTGAAATGATTATAATGCATATACTTAAAAGGATTTAATTTTGTTAATATAAAAGCAGTCCACTTAAAAAACCAAAAAGCCCTCAGACCACAGATATTGCTTGTGAATTCAAAACCAATCCATTATCTCTATTTTTAGCTTTTTATATAATTGATAATCATATTGTTACGTCTTTGTTAGTTTGTTAATTTTTCATAGAAATTCTTTCTGAAAAACTTCAGGAATACAAGTCC